ATTCCAGCACTACCTCACCTCTATGGGCAAACTGCTGAATGAGCCTGCTGGATGGTGCAATATGACTAGGTTTGCAGTACCTTAGAAATTTAGACACTTCAAAATTTAGAATTTAGAACCTTGATGCCTGCCTGTCTAAAAGTCCCCTTCTGGCCCCTCTAGCCTCCCAAACTCAACTGTGCACCCAGAAGCATGTAGGGTTGGGGTTGGAGGCTGGGGGTAGCCCTGTGGCAACTAAAATTATTACAAGTTCAGGAGTTTAATTAGAACTAAACTCAGAATTATACTGTGCTAATTGGAGGCATCATTTAAATCAGCTTAGTTATCTGGTTGGTATTCTCCTCTAGAGAAGACAGAAATTATTACAAGAAGACTGAGGGTCAACTTAAGGCAGACATGCTGGTTCTAGCAGGCAGGGATCGTAGCCTGCCATCTTAGGAAGAACAGAAAACATCCAAGTCCACACAGAGGTAGCAGACTCCAGAGTCAGGCATAGACACCTTACATATCTTAGGAGGCCTTGGGAGAGTAGCCCTGTATCCTAGCACATTACAACAGGGATTGTCCTGAGGTAAACACAGACCACGAAGTCAACCTTAAATCAATCTATTTATTAAAAGAGGTTGTACAAAGCTTGATCCTTGAATGGGACAGGTCTTATTATCTGGTATTCATTCATTCATTCATCACCTTTTTTTGAGCATTGCCAAGGCAAACTACTTTTGAACAAAAATCAACTTACTCGTATTGGTCACTGACTTGTTGTCAAGCCTGATTCCATATGTCTTTTGGTTGCTTCCTGTAGATAAACATTCACTTAAAAGATAAAGATACCCCATTTTCTTCTAATACTCTTAGTCTTCCTTTTAAGGAGTACTTATACACATTTGAAGTTTATTCACTAACATTTTGTTTCTGAAGTTTCATAGACAAAGATATTACAGAAAAATATTAGCATAAAATTCTATGACCATTATCTGCCACTTAATGTCCCTGTCTTTCTTTTAAAAGATAATGCTTCATTTCCTGTTTTCTAGCCCTCTGCTTCCTGTGCTTGTTTTTTTTCCAAAATCACTGAAAGTGATGAATACAGAGTTTCTTTTCATTATCATATGATCTGATCTGCTTATGTTTTACTTCTGCTGTCTAGATTGTTGGTTGGAAGTCACAACTGGTAAAATAAGCCTATCACAAATGTCATCCTAAAATTTTCACTTTCCTTTGTAGTTTACTGGTAGAGCATAATCTTGTTTAACAGATGCCCTGGCAATCCCCCTTCGTGTGAATGCAGCCATATTGGAAAGACTGTATCCTCACGACCCACGCCATGTCCACGGCATCTGTAGATCCCTCCAGGACTGGAGGTTAGACATGAGTGCAGGCACAGGTTGACTGCCTGTGGACTGCCTGCCTCAGCCCACAAATCCCTCTTACTGAGGACCTTCTCTCTTCGTGATGATTGTTTATTCTCTTGTAAACCAAGTCTTGTCCTTCTTTTTATTTCCTTCCTCTTTTCCAAATGGGACATACTGGTGAATTTTTTTATTGCTTGAAAGGTTATCTCCATCATGCCTTTTCACTTTTAAAGTCTTTGGTGTGAGCTTGTGACATAAACCTGGAGAGGATGGAAGGCATACAGCAGACTTAAAATGGCTGCTAATGAAATCCACCATGCTAGCGCAAGTGGGAAGACACCAAGATCAGCAGGGGCTCACCCTCTCCATACCGACCTCTCCTTGTTATTTTTCTTATTTCTGTCAACTCTGGCAGCATTTCTGAACTCCGTGAACACATCTTTTTTTCCTGTACCAAGTATGGAAAAACTTTCATGTTGTCAAGAGTTGTGTTGAAATAAAATTGTCACCTAGAAGAAGCCACATTTGCTAGGAAGCTCGGGAGCTGTGGGAGTCAGTGCTAGCATGAACAGGTTTACATGGTCTAGTTTGTGATGTGGTAAAGGGAAGAAGGGTTAGGAAGCATATCCTGCAAGATCATTCTGGCTGTACCCCTAAACTGCGAGTATAAATGGTTCAGTTACGGGGTGCTCAAAGTGGTGCTCACAGGCTACCTATGTCAGATTCTCCTTCTAGGAGAAGCAGCACTATAAGAGTGGGCCCAGAGAGAGCTTCATTTAAACAAATTCTCCAAGAATCTTCTACTAAAGTAGAAGAGCAACCTGTTCATTCTGGTTCTTAGTTTTCCAGCTCCCCAAATCACTTACCTCTGCATATTTAGAGGTGCTTTTGATGAGATAACTGACTCAGCCTAGTCAGATATGTAGGGAACTGAGGCATAATCCAGAAAGCTAATAGTGCCACCAATAGTGCAGGGATCCTGTGGCAGCAGATGGGAGAGCTGAGCCCAGTTCTTGAAGTTCAGAATGGTGTTCCTTGACTCTTCCTCAGCCATTGCATATGTCATTCAGTGTGGTCGTTTCTTCTACTTCACCCTTGGTCCCATTTTCCCTTTCCAAGTATGAACAACTGAGATTTCTCTTTTAAACAAGACTCAGCCATCAACATGCTCCAGAAAGATTTTCACCCACTACCCACCAATCCCAGGAACTTTCTCTGGAGCAGTGATGCCTTATGCAAACTTAGGTGGTTTTCATTTACTTATGTGTGTGTCTGTCCTATTAAAAAACAGTTTAATTGTTCTTATAAGACTGAGCTACATTGGGGCCTGACCTGGAGCGACTGCTCCAGGCTGTAACTGATTGTCATTGAGTGGCCCATCTGGAAGATTCCATGCGCCTTCTCCAGCACACTCCTCAGTTCTGTCTTCTCTGCCATAGGAATGATTAGATTTGCTTGTGTGTAAAGTTAGATGTGTTTGTATTAGAATCAGCTTCCTGGGATTCTTACAAAGATGTGTTTTGAGAACAAAATAAACAGGTTAGAGAGAAAATTAGGACACTTTGGAATCCAAATACTTGTGAAGTACAATTTTTTAAATACCACAAAATGCTTCACAGAGTTTCAAGTAAATTTAAGAGGGGGATCTACTGGATTTTGGCTAAGTGCTTGGGAAAAAGTTTCCTTAATTCCCTATCCAAACACTTCAGCTTAAATTTACTGGCAGCCATTTCAGAGGAAGATGGAGACTCTGTAATCCTTAGTTTGTTATAAAGAAAATGTTTTTGTCTTCAAATGTTTAGGGGAAGGATTAAAGGTAATTTATGGCTTGGGTAGAAAGTGATAAAAGTGCTAACAATGGCGTATCTTCTAAATTGTCACATTTTCTGAGATTGCTAACATCAATGCAGCAGGCATTTTACCTCTAAAAGGACTTATTTCCCTCTGCCATGCTGTGTGGATAACTGTGACGTCAGTCTCCAAGTGCTAACCTAGATTGACTGTTCACTCTGTTATACAGGAGATGAATTCTGTCATTGTATCCACTGGATCGTTTGCCACCAGGGCTCAACAAATATATTTGTAGTTCATCTCTTTCAGGAAATTAGACTATAAAGTCTACATAAAATGTATGTTTAAGACACATCCTATTCAACTTATCCAGAAATTATTCATTTTTCATTCTCAAGCAAAAATTCACAAGAGTAAGAAATTAGCCTGATAGGTTATCTTCCTTCTTGTAAGCCCCTTTTTATTAACAGAATCTTACCTTACAAATTTCTTACTATTTGCCTAATTAAAGGGATTGTAGCTCTCTATAGTACTTTATAATTTTTAAAGAGATGTTTAATTGGCATTGCATTTGATCTTTGTAAGAAATATGTGTAGTTATAATGTAATGCTTTTCTGTGTGATTGAGCCCTTTCTAATCTGAGGGAGTACCAAGGTTTAAAGATGTTAGGACATTATCAATGTCAAATAACAATGTAACTTACACAGGATTTATCTCTACACGGCATTCTTTTTAAACTATACCTCTTGTAAACCCACTGCTACTTTCCTTGGAGTATACGTACAAAAAGAAATTCTAGAAATGTTTTTAAATGCTATTACTGCATACTCTTCTTTTTACAATTATTATGATTATTATTATTGGCAATCCTGGGGTTTGAACTCAGGACTCACTCTACAGCGTGAACCATGCCTCCAGCCCTTTTTTACTCTGATTTTTTTTTTTTGAAGATATGATCTCAATTTTTACCCAGGCTGGCCTAGAGTGTGATTCTCCTACTTTAGGCTTCCTGCTGTAGCTTGGATGATAGGTTTGCATCCCTATAGCCAGATTTTTCCATTGCTAGGATGGCCTATTAATCACAGTCCTCCTGATCTCAGCCTCCCAAGTAGCTAAGATTAAAGATGTGAGCCACCAGCACCCAGCTTAAATATTTTATTGGCATGTATTAAATTGTCCATAGGGTTTTTATCATTACAATGCCATTCAGAGATAGAACGTAATTAGACCATATTCAATACCCATTTCTTTCTTATCCTTCCCTGCTCCCTCCTCCTGTCCCTGTCCCTCTCCACCCCCCTTGTAGTCCCCCTTTTACTTTCAAGGACTTGGTTGTGTCATGTTGTTTCCCTCCTGACTTCCACAAATGAGATAAAATATATGACACTCATCTTTATGAGACTGACTTAATTTCTTTTCTGTTATCAATTAAGTGATGATTGGTTTCCATGCTTGATGATACTCAATTTTTAGAAAATGATCAACAGTTTCTTGCAAATAACTTTTATGCATAGGTAAGTACAGTATAGAAAATAAATCTGAAATAATTTTAAATAACATGTGCATTTTTATATGATAGTCTAAGTTATTTAATGATTCTAATCTATGTAGTGGTGCCAATTCTATTTACTTAATAGATCCAATCCGAGAATGCTCACCCTCATCCAGAGCGTGAGAACATCTGTATAAATAAGCCACTGTTGCTTTAATAACTTATATTTTATAAGTTTGTAAGATATATCAGATAACATTCCTGTGTGTGTGATATTTGTCCAATAACTCAAATCCTCTCATAAGGTGGGTTGTGGTGATCTGTCTAGATTTTTGTTTAAATAAGTTTTCTTTCTACTCAGAGTAAAAGAAGCTGAAGAGGTATGTAGACAGAAAAAAGGAAAATCACTTTATAAAATAAAACCAAGACATGATTCTGGAATTGTAAGTATTAACTTTTCTTATTTTTTAACTTGTGGCTTTCTTTGGCTTTGAACTCTGTCTCCACAATCTATACAAAGTACTTTCCTCTTAAGTTTGGATGAATGATGAGCTTCTGATTTGAGAATCTCTTTTCTTTAAGTCTTTAACCAGACTGCAAAAGTTAATAGAGCCTCAATGTTAAGTATTTGAAACTTAAAAACTAAGATGAATGTAACTGAGCATGAGGACATGTGACCATGAGTATGTGGCTAAGGGGCCATCTCAGGTGCTCTTCACTGCTCACAGATCACAGCCCATGCAGCTTTGGAACTCACAGTGACTGTGGGATGGGACTAACTGCTTGAGATCTAACACAGTTTTACTTCCATGGGCGGGGTTGTGCTGTGCTTAGGATGTGGTGCTCACATTGTCTGTAACCCTGTGGCTCCCTCTAACAGAGTTCGATGTCTGAAGCCGTTCACTTGAACAGAGGAATCTGAGTTTCCTCCTTACCTACTCCCTCCTTAAAAATGAAAAAAACAGGTTGTGTAACCTAGAGGGAAGGACTTGATTAGAGTGACACTTTTTCCCTTGTGGTGCTTATAGATGCTTTGTTGAATGTTTTGAAGATGTCATCACTTGGTGCCCTTATAAGTAAATGGTGCTGTTTAAATGAAAGGTTGAGCTAAGTCTTGGATTTGTGTGACATAGTCTAAATGGAGAAGACATTAAGATAACTTAAGTTGAGATATAATTAAATCATCTTTTTTTAAAAAGCTAGAAATTATATCTTTATTTAAAGCTATTTTCCAGCCAGGCATAGTGGCTCACGTCTGTAATCCCACTACTCAGGAGGCAGAGATCATGAGGATTGCAGTTCAAAGGCCAAACAAGGCAAAATGTTAGCAAAACCCCCATCCTAACAAGTAAGCTGAGAGTGGGGGGCACCTCATCCCTGCTCCTAAACACAAAGATTGCAAGCCAGGAGCTGGAGGCTCACACCTGAAATTCTAGCTACTCGAGAGGCAGAGATCAGGAGGATTTGGTTCAAAGCCTGCCCAGGAAAATAGTTCATGAGACCCTATCTCGAAAAAAACACTTCACAAAAAAGGGCTCATGGAGGCTCAAGGTGTAGGTCCTGAGTTCAAACCCCAGTACCACACACACACACACACACACACACACACACACACACACACAAAGTAGAAAGCTTGCAGTCCAAGGCCAGCCCCAGCAAAAAGGTGAGACCCTGGCTGGCTTGCAAATTGGAGTTCAAACTCTAGTACTACCAAAAAAAAAAGTAATAATAATAAAATAAAAGCTGTTTTCCTTGCCATTTTTTTGTATCAAAATTAATTTTATCTAATGAGAAATTTGTTTTCAACTCTTTTCTGGTAAGTTCATTCTTAAAGCTGTATTGAAGGAAGGATAATTATTTCTTAACTAACCTTAATCATGCTGCTATCAGATTAAAAGAGAATGAAGGCCTATTTGCCATTAAACAAAAGAGCTGTTCCAGTTTCCATAGGATCCAAAATGAGAAAGATGTGTTAGCATGCTTTCACAAAAGTTAGAAGTTATGTTTTTAAAACTATTTTATCAAAAATATTTGATCTGTCTTGATGAAAATTTAAAAAGATGAAAGAAATCCTACTTAGATATTTTTTCTCATATTCTTATGAATTCATGGATCTTTAACCTTTCCTAGGGAATTTGACACAAGTGAGAAGGTCTTGTTTGGATTGCTCTAAACTTCTTCCTTTTTGCAAAGTTCTTCTTTCTAACTGTAACTCTTATGTCGTGTATTTATTTTCAGAAAGCAAAGATAAGCATGAAAACCTGAACAATGAGCAGCAGAATGAAAATGAGTCATTGCAACTTCCACAAAATTCAGCCGATCTGAGAGTGGGAAGGAAACTATGTCATTCTGATCTTTTTTCTTCTTAACTTCTTGCATAATCTTTGTATTTTCTAGACAGTTCACTGATCATTGAATTTTACTGTATGTTCATTTAAAAATGCAAAAGCAGTAGACCAGTGGAAATTTGACACCTTTTCTTTTTGTAAAAGTTTATGGTATTATACCGTTAGACCCAAATAGCATGTATAAGAAGCAGTATCTGCATTATTTCTGAACATGCTAAGCATTAACCTACAATTTACTTTTGTGGGATTCTTTCTCATCACAGCAAAGACACTTTCCTTTTTACGGTCAACCAGGACTCCATCAATGCATTTAGATCTATGGATAAATGTTATTTCTGGTGAATTGTTTGTATCATTTCACACCTACTTATGAATTTTCTGTTTTAAAATAGAAGTTCCACTTATATCTCATAATCAGTGGCTTTCCAAACTCTTGGGTTGCCCTCCATAATCAGTGGCTTTCCAAACTCTTGGGTTGCCCTCCATAATATGTCCCTAGAGACCCCATGAAAATGATGTCTGCAGCAGAAGTACATTAAATCAAAGGTGAGCCTCTATACCTTTTACCTTTATGCTCCAAAAGCAAAATTTCACTTAGTATTTTGAAGAAATTTAAATAAATGATGCACACAAAATTGCCACACATGAATAATTATCATTAACAAAATAGAAAAGAAAAGCTCCTGGTTAATTTGGAACTACCTAGACCTTGTTAAGCAATCATCTGCCCAAGTAACTTGACATGATTGGGGTTGTCATCCCATGTGTGGCGGGTGATTAAGGTTGTAAAATGAGAACACTGTCATTCATTTTCTAAAGGAGCCTCTGAGGAAAAATAGGTAGATCTTCCACTCTTTCTAAAGGTATTTTGAAGTCAGCTCACAATGCATTGTGGTGGTTTTGTCTAACATTGATAGTTTGTTTTTAGTTGCTGCTCATGACTTGGCTAAGAGTTACGGTTGTAGAAAGAAGGGACAAGGTATTTCTGTTGTAAATCAATTATGGAAAGCAACTTCAAAAGAAAAACAATGTTTTAAATCATAACTATGTTTATGTTTATGTAAAGTATGATCTCTTACCTCTTGGTTGTATTTCAAGTGCAAAGAAGCAGTAGTGTTTTTCTGTTGTTGCTTTGTGGATTTCCTGTCCCCTCAGTCCCTCCAGTGTGTATAGTACCATTCCTCAATTAAGTAATAGGGCATTTAACAAAGATCGCTATGTGCAATACTGTATTTAGTGTTTCTATTTCAATTTTTTAGGATGTTAATTTATATGAAAATAAAATGAATAATAAAATGTTTCTGTGTCTTTTGTGTATGTATTACATAAAGACCTTGGAAAATAAAGCCATCCTAATCTAACTTTTGCAGGGAGAGTGTTTAGGAAAGGAAAAATAAGTTACTTTTTACATTCACATATACAAAAACATACTATTTCAGGGATTTCAGAACTTAATTCCATCAGTGATACCTAAGTAAGAAATCCTCATAAAATGTTTACCCTTTTACATCCAAATTAAGGTTTCTTTCCTGAGCTCCAGAAGATCTTCTGGTCATTTCCAGGTGGTGTCTCACCATACCTCAAAATTTATCATGTGCAGGACTGAACACAGCTTGTCACCTTGCCCCTCCAAACCTGCTCACTTTCCTTTGTCATCTATCTCAGCGGACAGAGCCAGGACCCACTAGGAAACCTGAGTCAACCTCAACATCCTGCTATCCTTTTTCTCCCCACTGATTCAACTACTGAATCCTGTCGGTTCTGTATGCTTGCTTCTGGGATGCATCCGTTTTCTGCCACCTGTTCAGTAAAGTCCTAGTTCAGAACCCTTGTGAATCACCTTAATAGCCTACTCATCTTCCAAGATTTGCTTTGCACCAGTTTTTGCTAGACAGTGAGCCATACACCAAGATATGTGACCTCAAAATGTCATACAAAACCTTTACTGTGGCCAATAGAGTGGTCTGTGCCTATGTAAAATCCTGAGCCATATCTCTTGACTCAACCTATCTTGAATTCCAGCCTCCAGCCAGACTATTGGTACTTTCAGTCTTCTCATGCCATGCTGAATGTGTGTTAAAGTGTTGAGAGATTAACTCCAGTGTAAAGTTCAAATAACTTAATTATTATGTTTAGGTCATGTGAAGAAATTTGAAATGTCTGATCATTGAGATAGAAAAACATGCTATAAGCTGAGTGACTTCTAGGTGGATGCAAGTAAAGGGACTGCTGTCACTTGCAAGGTGGTGCTGAGAAATTCATAGATCAAACCCAGAGAGATGAGGTGTTCAATAGAAGCTAAAAGAGACACAGGATAGACTGGGAAGGATCCCATAAGGAAAAGTTAGATAGTAGCTTGAAGAAACAATGGCTGAGAATTTTTTAGAATTTGGGAGAATTCTGCTTGAAATTGTGTAACAAGTGTCAGCCTAGATAAGTACCAAAAAATTTGCACCTAGGAAGGTCAAGAGAATCTCCAGGGGAGGTTAGGGCATCATTTCAAAACCTCTGGGAGGAAAGGACAAATCACCAACAATGAAGTGACAATTACACTGAAAGACGATTTGTCTTTAGCAACAATATATGTTGAAAACCAGTAAATACTTTCTTCAAATTGTGGAAGGAAAACAGTAAGTCAGGACCATCATACCCATCATTCATAAGGAAGCATCATTCATAAGTAAGGGGAGACTGAAGACATGATTTAAGTGGTAGAGCACCTACCTAGCAGGTGCAAGGTCTTGAGTTCAAATCCCAGTACCACCAAAAAAAATGACGTATGGAAGGAGTGATACATATTTGCAGACACTTGAAAACTAAATTAGTTTACTATCCAAAAACCTCACTGAAAGGTTTGGTAAAGGGCATATTTCAACAATGAAAACAAATTGAGGAACTGATATATAAGACATCACAGCACAGAAAATGGTAGAGTAAATCAACTCCAGGTTGCAAACAATAACAACTATAAGACAGTAAAACTCTTTTCATTCATGGAATTCTGGAAATGTCTCATTGTTAACATGTGCCAGAAACTGCTATATGCTTTGGGACAGACACAGAAAATTTCCTGTTTTCATGGAACATACATTACAAAGAGGGAAACAAACAATTGTTTTTTTAAATGTATGATATTTAGGTGGGATGTCCAGTAATTTATTTTTCAAATGAGAACCCCATTGGGAATGGGAATAGGTGCTGTTATACCTGGAAAGCCTCCTTAAATCAATGCTGTCCCCAAACTGCTCTCTCTACATATATGCACTATGTGAACATTAGGTGCTGTGAAGGAGGAAAAAGAGAGCGGATGTAATAATATTAAATATGTTTAGATTTTGTTCAAAAAATGTGAAATTTAATATAAATTTTCAGGGGTACTATTTACAAAAACAAAAATTATTACAACAAAAAATGAAAAAAATCTTATTAATTTAACTCAATGCCAGAAAGATAAGAAAAAAATGTGATAAAGAGAAGTGATTGTGTATGGTAGACTGGAGAAGTTGGGCAAAGGTGTTACAAGCCCCCAAAATCCTATGCAACCATCCTTCAGTTATGCCAGCTTGTCCAATTCCCAGCCTATTAGTGAACTCAGGCTTTGGAAGGTTGTATTTCCAGTTTTTGGTTTTCATGAAACACACCTTCAGTTATACAGTGTAATCAAAAGAAGTAGAAAGAAGTTTAATGTTTTAAAATACTGTGGAAGGAGGGCAGTTTACCCTTTTCCTCTCAGAAATCATCCCAAAGCAACAAGGAGCAAAAATGCAACATACATGGAAGATCTTCCACATACATGGGTGTGGGAGGGGGCAGAGAATGGGCACCCACGGAGACACAGCTCAGAAAAAACCAGCACAGTCCCCCCTCTCCAAGGGGAGGCCCTACCCCTGGGTGCTCTCACAAGGTCCTACATGTGTACCAGTGGACCTTGGAACCAATAATAGACTTCCCTGAATGTGGAATATTATTTTTTTAAAGCAGGAAGAGTACCTATGTGAGATGTCAGAGAAGTCATAGTCACAGGAAGAGGAGATTTCTATCATTGAGACAAGGGGAAGGGAAGAGACCCGGGATGAGGGTGGAAAATGGTAAAACAGCTTGAGTTCTGCACCCTGCTTCATAAGGAAAGACTTGCCAGCTCAAAATGCAGTCTGCCCCTCCCAACCCACATCACCAGCAAATGACTGGTGAGCAAAACATGGTACCAGACCACAAAGATGATTCAAACAGGAAAGGAATACTGGAGACCAGCTCATTTATGAACAGCAGTGCAAGAATTCTGTGCACGAGGTGAGAAAACACCAGGAGGACCATGAAAAAGTGGGGGCTATTTCTGGAAATTTCTGGAAGGCTAAGAGGATCATATGAAGGTTTTTGCATGTTATATTACATGGGTATTTATAAATAATGTATAAATGTGGAGAAAATCATATATGCCCCAAAATGCTGAAAAAATCATTTGAACTATTCATCAATTTTGAACAAAAACATCTGACTAATATCACTGTGTCCTCCAACAACAAAATGCTTCAAGGAAAGCATCAGCAGTGTCCTCCTTAGGGCTGCATTGAGGCCAGTGTAGAGCACTTACCTAGCACCTGTGAGACCAGGGATTGATCCTGGGCACTGCAGAAGAACACGAACAAACAAATAAAAACAAACGAAAAGAAGTGTAAACATCATGAACAAGGCCAGGGTGTTTACTTTTATTGTTGCTAAATTTATCACTCTTCTGAAAGAACAAAGTAACCAAACAACTGTTAGAGACAATAGTAGGATGTCATAAATTGACTAGGCCAAAGCTATTGTACAGAAATCAAGTACTTTCATGAATACATACGATATCCAGCAGGAAGAAATAATTGGAAAAGTGCTCACTGTAAAAAGAACTAGGGTTGGTCAGTCAGGTCGCTCAGGGTAGAGCATATGCTTATGCTTATGCACACCCCCCCCACACGCACACACTAAAAACAACTCAAAAATTTGAGAAGCATGGGAAATGCTTCATAAGTACGTAAGATCCCACTTCTGGATTAAGAAAATGTCGTACTTATACATAATGGAGTTTTACTCATCCATGAAAAAGAATGAAATCTTATCACTCACAAATACATGGATAGAACTGGAGAACATCATTCTGAGCAAGGTTAGTCAGGCTCAGAAGACCAAAAATCACATGTTCTCCCTCATATGCAGACTTTAAATCTAGGGCAAATGCAGCAATGTGGTTGGACTTGGGTCACATGACAAGGGGAGAATACATACGGGAGAAATGGGGATAGATAGAAAACCCAAAACTTGAAAGCATTTGAAGTTCCCACT